TCAACATACTGCAAACACTTTGGCGCAGAAAAGATTCCATTGGTATCACTGCACAGGGTAAAAGAAAGTATAATGCACTTTTTTGTATAATTAAGCCAAGTCTAGACATTGTATGGTGCCGTATCTATGACTCTAGCTCACAGTAAGTCAATCATGCACAAATTGCTAGATTCATATATAAATTCATATTTTTAACACAGAAAAGTACATTTAAATTATTTTAACAACAGTGAGAGACAAAGAGATACAACCGGGGAATCACAGATTAAAATGGTAACTAGATAAAATTAATCATTCAGAAACCGACAGGCTGAAACTCCCCAACAGTCTTTGTGAATGTACCCTGAGGACTCTCAATGATTTCCATATTTTTGACAAATTTCATTTTCAACCAGACGGGGCACTAGTTTGTATATTCCCAAAATTACTTGTAATAAACTTCAGTTTTCCCACCATACACTAGAACTACCAATGGAATCCGTCTTCTGTAAAACAAACTGGACTGAACAAAGAAAAAAAAAAAAGGAAAAAAAAGAAAGAAATTTTTCTTTTCTTTTTCTTAAGCCGAGGACCTTTTCTACTGTAACATACACTACACAGTCCAACTGAGATTTCCTTTATGACAACCTGGCATGCAACCAGTGAACAGTGGTATCCTTTAGATTTAAACGGTCATCTGAGTGTGGGCTAATATCCATGTACTATTTATAGTGTAACCTGATCTAACCATTAAAAATGCATATTTCTGAAAATACACTGCAACAATGTGATATTGGTAGACAACAGGTCCTAGAAGCAGATGCATCCATTGGAAATCAGCAAGTTCTGAGGTACTTCTGAAACTCACAGCTGAGGATATAATCACTATCTACAATATTTGGATGGATAGCATATAGTTGATACAGTAATAGCAGGGTTATCAGTTTTGCGAAATATTTTGGCTTAAAATTTGATTAGCTGAGGGGATAGTGGCGGTTGACACACCTGAATAAAACATAGTTGTATGAGGATAAAAACATAGAAAAACAGCACCATTTGAGGTCCAATAGATCAGTTTTTGAACTGTTTGCTGGTAGCACCGTCAACCAGTAAAAATCTCAGAATGCAATACAGAGACAGAACACAACCACTGATCAACTGCACAACATAGCAAAGAGCGTAGATATATATATTCAGAGACGACCCCTCACGCAGACACCCCTTTACAGCAGCATCTTTAAGCAGGTAATAAAACTGATTTCTCCTAAGAATGATATTTGTGTACTGAGGTGTTTTACAAGTTTTATATGCTATACATATTGAGAGTAACCAGGTATACCTTTTCCTATAGATTTTTTTTAATATACACACATAGTTTACAGTCACTGACAAACAAACACCAGAGTAACAATGAGGTAGGACGGTGAAGTTAGATGAAGTAGAACCGGTTTGTGGATTGTATACAAAGTTACTGATACCTTAAGAAAAATATAGGCCTAACAATGTGTTCCTCCCATTTGTCTCATTTTGAAGTAAGTCTGACATTGTATCTGAGGCTCAAATAGTAATGTATCTTGTGTACACTTAGTTGCAAAAACTGTGAGATGAAGCCATTTATCTTGTTCCACAAAGTGAAGCTAGAAACTGATCTCTTTTTCCCAATCAAACTGTCAAAAAGCAACATAAAGCTCCCTCACTTCTGAAGTTTTGACGGGTATTCACAACATACGTCAAAACACCAAGCAAGGAGGACAGGATTTGCTATTATCTTGATACATGTGCATTTTTAAATCCAATCCATATAAATGTCAGGAAAGTAATGACCTAGAGGTGGCACAAGAAGAGGATCACAGAGCGAGCGAAGTTACATTTCCTCCCTATCGCTACTTGAGTGTGACAGTGAGAGTACTAGAAGGTCTGGTGTTGTAACAGACCCAAACTAACCTACAGTATCCATTAATGGCTCTGCCAGGCTATGTATTCGTGTATGTTACTATTATGCTGCTAAATCCCAAACTGCTTCTCTGCAAGTGACTCGTTCATTTGATAGAGATTGGCTTTGCCAGCACAGATTAAGCCAAATTTGGGTTAAAAACAGTACTTCCATACAGCTTTCATCCACTAAAGATGGTTTCAGTTAAAGGATTAGGCTTAATCACGCTCTAGGAAACCAGCCTTTGAAACCACACCCCCTTTTGGCATCAAACAACAAAGAAACAAACACAAACACAACACACGACAATGTGTCAGAATTTCAGCAAGGTTGCTTTGCACAGCAGAAATCTTTTCTTTCTTTTAAATTGCATGTATTTTAAATACATGCTAGCGCACGTAAACCTCACATGTTGCTTTGTACAGGGAAAAACAAAACAAAAAACTAAAGGACACTAAAAAAGGGACATTTTTTAGTCACCTTTTTGGTGGCTTAAGATTCACTAAGCTCTGTTAACTTTGCATGGGCCATTTTTTGTGCAAACCTGCTGATTCATTAGTCAGCATCATCCCCCTTCTTTACCTTGATCTCAGCATTCAATACTTTGGCTTACAATTACCACTCATTTGAAAAAAATACACATTTTCTCTATATAAGTCATATCTATACATAACCAGCATCTTGACACATCAAGTTAAAGCACATATTCCAGTCATCTTGCACATTTCATAGGTAAATATCTTTAGATTGGTGAATCATGTTTTGGGCTTGAAAAACAAGCAAGTTGACAGAACAGTTGTTGACTTTTGTTTGTCAGTTTGTGAAGTAAGCCATATATTGTTCATGAGGCCATGATGGAGATATAGAATCCACTTTCCACATAAATTGACTTGTGGAAATCTGGTTTTCTAAGCACTCCAAATGACTCTCCAAAGATTCAAATATTCATTTTCGAAGTATTAAAATCTATCAAGCTTGTTGTGGAGCATTGCTGTGTCAGGGGCACATCTGACTGACAAAAACAAACTAATTCTTGCCCTAAGGAAAAAAAAAAAAAAACAATAAACCAAAATGTTCTAAGGTGCTTCATGATATACAATGATTGTTAGGCCTTAATCTATATAGACATTTAAAAAAGGACGAATACCACAAATACATTTCTTTAAGATTGAAGAAATTGCCCAGAAGTTTAAAGTGCATTCAATGTAAATGATTTGTGTCGATCTAACTACTGCTTCTCAATTGCTGGAGTACAATGGTTCAACAATACAGATTTTCATCTTACTGTGGCAAGTAATTAGAAGGTAGACTCTAAGTGAGGCTTATCAAATATCACGTTGTGAATGTAGCTTGATGTATGGGCTCTGTCAAAATATTATGTTAAGGAAAAGTCTTGTCTCTCTTGTTCCACAGAGATCACTTTGGCTAAGAAAGGGAGAAATCTTTTTCATTTGTAGATTTCACTGATCTACAATATCAAGCTTAAAGCCAACCATTATTATGAAACAAACAAAAATACAGAAGTGTAAAAAGAAACAAGAAATTTTCAGGTAACACGGAATTACAACATTAATTAGTAATTAAACCAAAACTTGACCAGAACCTTTAAAACTGTAACATGTAACATGACTAGAAACTGAAATATCCATGTTCGGTGGAAAAAATAAAAAGATGTGTTTTATGTACACTAAAATATCTCCAAAACATAAGATAGCTGAAAAGGCTGATCTGAACTTTTGAAATAACAAAAAACCAAGACAGACAAAATGATAGAGAGAAATAAACCAACCAACAAACAGGAACCTAGAGTGTGGAGAGGAGAAAGGCTTGATAGGCAGCTCTGCAGCAGATTCACAGTTAGCCACAGCTAGGTCACAGTTGAGATTTCAATCTGCAGCATTTAGGTTCCAGCCTGCAGACAGCCACACAAACCATTTTGGATCAAAACAATAAAACAACTGCAGAGAAAAAAAACATTAAAAAAAACATACAAGACAAAGAGGACAGTTTTCAAAGTTCTGATGGCATAGCTCAGAGGAAGCTGTCACTGGAGCGACCTTACTTTGTTCCCCAGTGGCATGGCTTAAAAAAGAGGGGGTTATTATAGGGTTCAGCAGGCCCAGACAACTTCAACAGCACAACAGTTTTTCAGACAGCTTTACCCACAGCTAACACTGCTTCAACATGAAGATGATCTGAACCGTGCAGAGCTGCGCCCTGATTTTCTTCCCCACGTTGTCCTGTGCAGCCCAGCATCTTTTAAGGGGGGGGGGGTTAAAGTAGCCCGGCTCAGCTCAATTTGATGGTGTGAATCACACAGAAAATAGTACCAAGCCACCTCTTACATTCTCACAGCAAAGTGCAGGTGAAGCTTCATCACTTCAGCTTACTATACATTTACAATCACAGCTTACTACAAAACCCAGGGGCACACCAGTCCCTGGTGATTGCCAAATCCATTTAAGGCCTTTCTAGGCATTAACATGCCTGTACCACTACAACTCAACAGTCAAATTGTCTGAAAGTGACATGTTAGATTAAGAGTAACAAACAAATATGCCATCAAAACCTTTCCTCGTGATCTCTCAGTGATGGCAAAGGTTCATAACTAAAAGGTGAACATATATAACATAACAAATACAGCACTCAATAGACTCTACATTAGAGTCATACCACCCACTAAACCCAGTAAGCCCTCTTTTTAATAAAACGATGTGTTGTGATTGACCTACAGTTAAGGGGGAACACACACTCATAGTTAATCTCTTGGAGCAACAGAATCTGTTGCAAAATGCAATATCGCTGGTACCAATTAAGACTTGTGCATTCGAGACACTGATGTCTCATTCTATGCAGGAAGTACAAACAGCAAACACCAAGAAACGGCGGTAATTGGGTAGTCACCAAAACATCCAACAGTCCACACATCTAAGATCTAATGCAAGCTAGCATCATCATCTTTATAGCATCAGAAGACTTTGTCTAGGGAAATAACCTCTTACTTTTTAAAAGTTTAATGACTCAAAATTATGTTCTGACACAGAACAATAAATTAATTTAACAATCACATCTAATCTCTCCTTTGACACAAATGCACACACCTCAATAAACCATGTCTCTGTACCAATTCCACTGTAAAGCTTATAAAAACACTCATACCAGCTCATATCAAAGTAGTTCACGTGAGCTCAAGTCAGCCTCTGTCTGGTGGGTAAAGCTGTCTGTCAGCCAATGAGGAAACTGGGCACTGAGGAAGCTGATGGTTGTTCTGTAGGGAGCTGGGAAGGGTACTATTTGTTTTAACATTTCACATAATAACCAATCCAATGTGTCAAAGGAATACAACTGCTCCTGAAACTGTGACAAACATCCCCCAACCACTCATATCAAGTCCCCTAAACATCCTGCGGACCACAGGGGGGCAGAAGGCGCTGGTGTGACAACAGTTGATCACTACATGCCATCGTAGGTGAAGTTCTCCATCTTGACTGTCTGTCTGATGAGCAGCTTGGACTCCCGCCGCTCCTCGTTCTTGATGGACTTGTTGATGTCCATTATCTTTTCACAAATGTATTTGTTCACTTTGGATAATCTCTGTGTAATCTCTGCACTGTCGGCTGTTTCTTGAGACACTCTGTCGTAGAGACACTCTGGGGAAGGAGTGAATGTTAGCAGTCAGACTACACTGAATTAGATATTGCTGATCTTATCTTTGTCTGGTGTCTAATGAATATATTTCAATGATTGAAAGGCAATATGAGCAAAGAAAATCATTTGTTCTGTACCTGATGTTTTCCAACTCATCTTACATGAGGTCATTCAGAACATGGATTCATCTGTCTCTCTATTTTGATTTTATGGGTTTAAACCTGAAGTAAGGATCTTACCTCTGACGATTTTCAGCTTGCTGGGCGACAGTGGAGGTTTGGGTAGGGCATCTTTCTTCTTTTTGGTGGCCACTCCTGTGACACTACGGTTTTTGAGGGTTTCTGTACCCCAGATCATTACAGCTAGGTTCTTTGTGAACTTGGAGTCTCCCTGGGTTCGCTGCAGCTGGTGCCACTTCTCCTCCTCTACCCAAATTCCACCACCGAGGTGTACCTGCGGAGAGGAGAGGTGTAAACAAAACCATGAGCACCATATTTAAAAAAAAATCTGCAGTCTGCTAAAGATAAAAATATTTATCCAGAAAAATTGAAAGGGGTCTATGATCAGTTCAGTTAAAAAAAAAATGTTGATACATTTAAGCACACAAAGCAATACTCTGCATGGGACAGCCTCATCTACTCCCCTCTTGTTGGTTCAAGCTGAATTTCCAACCATTGTCACCCACTGAAGAGCTGTCTGCCCCATCAATGTTGGAAAATAAGACATTTACGTTTTTGAAATGTAATGCTATTACAGTTACACACCTGTTTAATTAATAAGCAATTTAAACACCAAAGAGCTTAAATAAATGTCTTTAAAATAAAACAGCAAGTAAATAAATAATTAAATTAAATTAAATTAAATTAAAAATGTAAAAACCCATGAGAGATTTGGAAATGAAAGTGGACAAAAATATGGATCTTATCCTCGGTTCTCTGCTAGATAATGTTGTTAGAACAGATGCTAGAATATCAGACTTCAGTGCGGTTGATCAGATTTGGAGTGGGGGTAACAATTTCATTTAATGCCATTGATGCTTAAGCAAATTGTATGTAACAAAATGTATGACCACGAAAGCAGTCCAAAATCAGCGAACAAGAGAGAAGTACAGAAGAAGTGAGAGAAACAAACTAAACGTATTGTATTAATTTAAAAATGTATTACTTGGTACCATATTTAGAGGCATTGGTTTTTACTGGAGAACAACACATTTACATGTCAAACTCAATTCTACATTTTATCCCTCTGTGACGATGCTGACCACCCACTTTGCCTAGGAGATTTGTGTTGGGTGCTGTTGGATCCCAATCCGGTTTCCCCAATCTGCAATGCTCCATGTGGGTGTAAAACCCTAAATGGACAAGGCAGATCATAGAGAGTCGTGGAAGAACACATCTTAACGAGCTCCCGCTTAGACCAAATTGCAAATCCCAAGAAGCACCACTCTCACCAACTAGGATACATAAATAAGCTCAGGCCACTGGCTGCTTGTAGCCTGGATTACCTCCACTATGAACTTACCCTGTAGCTCTCTACACAATGTCGCTGCATGTTGCATAAGCCTGCACCAAACACTCCAAGCCGATTGCCAGCCTAGGCAGACTGCCCTGGTCTTCTAGGTGAGCTAATGCAGCAGGGGGCATATGTGACTCCCTTTCCCTTCTCTGCTCTCTTATCACTGTAAAGTCTTTAGGCTAGCATCCAAAAGGCTTTTCCCTGTGCAGCTAATGTGCTTTAGGCCCCCGGCCAGCAGACAAGCTTTTTACTGCCCTCAAGTTAGACAAGATTGTTTTCATCCTCCCTCCCTGTTGCTCTCGTTTATCTCTCTCTCCATCTCTCGTCCTCTTTTTCTACCTCTTCCCCCTCTTGCGCTCTCACTAGGGCTAACCTGTCAGTCACTTTAAATTCCTCTCGTGCAAATAATTAATATGGGGTCCCTGATGTAGGAGAGTTCTAATTTGCAAGTGTTCTTCACGCTTGAAGTGGCTGCAGGCCCCAGAGCTTGTAGTACCAATTCCCCCCCTGTCATCAGAGACAGGACGCCAGTTGAGTTACAGCAGTGGGGGGAGTAAAGAACCCTAACAGGCTAATAAACACTGATGATGTTGGCTGGGCTTGCAGGAACAATAATAATCTTCTCAACCTTGTTTACCTGCTAGGGTAGGGCAGCCAGGGGGAAAGGACTGATCAGCTATGACGGCATGTTCCCAGGTTCATGGGTGTTACGAGGAAAAACAGCATTTCCTACAAAATCAGTCTACTTCCCACGGTCACCCACAGGCAGAGAGCCAGATTTACAGAGAGACAGAACTGGAGGGTTTAGGACTCTCAAAGGGTGATGTGATATTTGACCATATAAATTACACATATATTGAAATATATAACTGAAGAGGAGGACATCTAAATGAAAACTACTGGACTGGAATTGAGAAACGGATCCAGTTGAGAACTAGTTCCAAATTGTCCGAACCATCGGACTGGTATACCCCCCAGTTTATCAATTTCAGAGCTGTGCAGGCCTATATGCTCACTACGCAAGTTGTGTATGGGCTCTGCAAATTATACAAGGACCCCACCTCCCCCGTGTGTTGAAGTGGTTGTCAATGTTTACAACTTTGCAGAGAGGATGAAGAGGAAGTATCCTGGTCACGAAAAGAGAAAAAACATCATGAGAGTGAATTGCCAATCAGGTAAACTGTCCTCTCCAAGTTCGATGTCAGCAAATAACAGTAGGCTCAGGTTAAGTGTCAGCTTGCAGTGCATCTTTCTCTAGTCTGTCTGTCTCTCTAACTGAGCTGGGCAGTACATTTCTTGCTCTGACTGTCTTGCTTACCAGCCACTTCCAGGGCTGTTCTGTGACTTTGTGTTGATAAAAGTGAGAGTGAAATACACCTATTTGTTATTCTTGTAAACACCAATGGGCAATGGCATTCATAAACTCCATCCATATTTGCATGCACTAAATGAAACCCTTGCTTTCCAGCAGCAACCTCTGTGGGGACCAGTCCAGACAATAGACGGATCGAATCATTTTGAAACAAGACAATGATGATCTAGTCTCTCAGTAAAAGTTTAGTTACAACTTTGGACTAACGCAAGATGGATTGGCATTGACTATTCATTAAATACTGAATTTAAAATGTTGATTAGCTGGGCATACTGAAAATAATAACCATCATGTATTCAACCAAGCCATTTGAACATTTCTAAATGGAAATCTGGGGAAGTCTTTTTGAATGGGCCTGATGCAGCCTATAAACCTATAGGCTTACATATACATTGTATTGCCAAAACTAAGATAAGCAGAATCAAATGGCATTGGTATCAGTAAAATTTTATCAATCCCCATCCCTAATAAGAATTAAGCATTTAAGATATTTTGAAAATTGAAAATACAGTCCTGTTTAACTACTGAAAGATTGAACATCACTTACAAGCCTTGAACAGCATCAGACAACATCAGATTAATTTGTTGTCTGTTGAACTATGTTAAAGGCTTGTCAATCAACATTTGACTGATGGCATCTTTCATTCCTGTGTTTTGAATTTAAGCACTGCGGCTACACTTTTGTTTACATTCGGATGAATGATTTTGCCTTCAAGAATACACGTCAAAAAAAAAAGATGAAGGAGATGAGAACAGACAGGGAACATCACAAAGACCACATGGAGGGCTTGGTAGCAGATAAATAGACATGTGATCTGACTATGAAAAACAAAACAAAGCAGCTGAAAAGGTGGAAATCACACGCCAGCTGGAGGGGATCATGAAAATCTAACTGAAGTGTCTCTTAGTCTGGTGAGACTGACCTTTCCATCATTGCAGGTGTATACTGTTCGAGGTGAGGGTGAGTAGCTGGAACTGGTGTTGGCTTCTTCTCTGCATGTCTCCTGGGCATCAACAATGGGTTCAACCACTTCAGCTTTGATTGTCTGAGTACCATTGTCATGCATAGGCTCTGGAAATACAAACGAGACATTTGATATTACAAAGATACAAGCAACAAGTCCACACTTTAAGTTGAGCTGAGGTCAAAGGCCATCCATCAACTGCTAGTCAACTTTACAAACCAATAGAGGATGACACTAAAACCACAGCAGACTCTAATAACACTGGACACTGTGTCAGCTGTAGACAGCCAGTTTCATCTTAATCTACAGTACCTGTACCAGTTTTGGGGTCTTTATCCCTGGAGCAGCGTCTACCTGCTCATTTCCTTGCTTCCTGCCTTGGGCCCAGGCATGTGCCTCAAGGCAAACGGTTATTTTAGCCCAGTAACTAAGCTGGCTTGGTGGCTGGCCACACTAAGCTCCAATGTCGCTGATGAGTTTTAATATCGGTCAGAGCACTCCATCCCCTACCCGACAGCACCCCGGGGTGCTCTAATCTTTAGCCTGTCCATTAGATGGTCTAGCCAGTAGCCAGGCGCCTCTGTCCAGATCTACAGTGGGGCTGAGGTTAACACCAGCATCTGGCAAAGCTTGTGTTTGTACCCTGCTGTGCACTGCAATGACACCACTTTTAATCACACTTACAACTATGGTTCCTTTTATTCAACTTCCTGTATAGAATTTACTGCCTATCTATTGGACACGATGGATTATTAACTCAGTGTTGTGCATCTATGAACTGTTAAAACTTTCTTTTTTGTAATTGTCATTTTCACATCTACAGAAACTACAGACTGCTAAGCATTTCACCCCTATTCAGAGGAAGTGTCTTAACGAGCATTTCTAACTGAATCAATTCTTAGATCATACTAGAGGACTGAACCCACAACCTTGTGTGGTCACTCAAATCACTAGTCCACTCATCCAAATGCAAATGTTAGCCACACTAAGTGGAGCATCTAAATGCAACTTTGGTGTAGTTCCACTTAAAACTGTGTATCTACGTTTCCAAGGACAAGAATAAACTTTGAATCTCAGCGCATGAGTGGAAACGGGCAAGAAATCCTTAAAATGAAAATGTGTGCATCTACAATGAAGATCATGTGATGTATTCAAAAGCAGCAGAAGAGTTACTGAATGGACTTTGGATCACTTTGTTTTCTCAACTATAAAAATCACTGCACTGTTTAGGACATAGAGTTGACACTGATTATAATGTGTCCACACACTTCCCACCTCCTCTTACTGTAGCAGGCAATTCTTGGGTGCACAGATGTTACAGTCCAAGACTGACTTTCTGAGATTAAATGTACTGTGTCTTTGGATTGCAGTTTTACTACTACAGATGTATTCATACTTAGACGACATACCCACTGATTTGATTTTGATAGACTGGGACATTTTCTAAAAGTGACTGATAGGGTTTAAGGTTACTATCAAACTCAGTGGTTTGTTTGTTGATATGCATGCTCTTGGTCTCTCACCGCTGCCTAATCTCATAAGAAGTACATCTTGCAGCCTCCTGTTGAAGTCCCTCAGTTCTTTGACTTCTGTCAGCAAACTGCCATATTCCTTCAGCTTCTTGGCCTGCTGTACCAGCTGCCTGCGGGTTCTCTCCAACTCCTGTTGCAGCCTCCTCATCTCCTCCTCCTGTTGCCTGTAGCTGTGAACCAGCTCCTCGTACAAGACTCTAGGAACCACAGCTGCGGCTACCTCAGACACACAATCCGTATCCACCTCCAAATGCTGTTGCTGCTGCTGCTGCTGGTGATGATGTTGCTGATGCTCTGCCTCCATATCTTCATCTTCATCTTCTGCATCCTCTCCCTCCTCAGCCAGCCGGTCCTCATCCAGGTCCTCTTCGCCCTCCATACAGGAGCTGGCTGCATTTCTCTCCAGGCGAGCCACTACTGCTGCCAGGCTCTTGGAGGAGTTGGAAAGGGGGCGTCCATGGTCCTGAGACAGGGCCTGAGGAAACAATCAAATTAGAAAATGGATAGGCTGGTGAAATGTAATTTAAATTGTAATAACTAGAAAGTTGAGTATATGAACATGATAAAAATTTACCATGTGTGGAGGGGCGCCAAATAAAATGTGTTACGGAATTTTGCAAATCTCTTTGCTGCATCAGTAACAAAGTGCACTAGATATCTGACTCAATGTGATTCCATCCAACACTTTCAAGGTAGAACAGATGTAAAAACCACACATCAACCTAAAAATTACATGACAGTCAGACTGCAAACAGTTTGCTTCAACTATGTGGATCTCAGTAGGAACTGGGAGGAGAGGAGTCACAGAGTTTCTTGATGAGCCGCTCAGAGGATTTGTCTGTGAAAGGGCAGCTGTCCAGAGTGCTGAATTTGTGTTAATCCAGCATATGGTAAAAATAGCGTGGGGGATTTTGGGTGTCATCCAAGTTTATGGAAATGTGACATTGAATCATTAATAGAAATATTTAAATATAAGAATATTGATGTATATACATCAACAAGAGACTTGCAGTCACACATGCATCCATACTTACACAGTGTTGATATAAGAGAACAATTATTTAGGGTTCTCACTGACAAGTATAACATTTTTTAATTTAAGTGGGATACTTTGTTATATCATTGAAAGTGATTTTAATTATTGAAAGTAATCCTTGCACCCACATATACAAACATGGCTGATTGTAAACTGTTATTATAGAATCATAAAATTGTATTTCAATGGTGCTATCAATAGATAAGCCTCATTTTAACATAATCAAGGGCAGTGTGATTGTATGGCATGATACTGGTGTCACTGTCAGTATAAGAACAATCTGGTGAGAAAGAGTCCTTTACCCAGAGCTGCCCATTTAAATGTACAAACTCCTTTCCTCTAAAATAACACAACTACTGTCTAATGTTGATGAGCCTACCTTTTTATGCCTGAGTGGCATTCTCTCCTCTCCAAAATTGTTCTCAATTGAGTTTCCTGAATTCTCGATGGACATCTTGGGAATTTTCATCTTCTTTTGCATTATACTGTCTTCAAATTCCTCTACTGTATCTGTGAAATGCAGACAGAAACTCATGAAGTTTCCAAAAAGTTACATGGGTTTTTATAAAACGTGACAGTACCTACAGAACTCTTTCACTCATTTGTCCTACTCGGGCCGAGGGCGTTTCGTCTCTTCATGGAGCTAGGTTCAACTAACTTCCTTAGCCTAAACTAAAGCCTAAATTTAAAAAAATAAGCTTTACGGAGAGGTAGAAACTGTCCTGGCTATACGGCGCTTTAACATAACCGACGCTGTGACGGTGTTAGTCAGGTCGGACCGATCCTGCAGCCCAGACAGCTCAGATTCTGGGATTAGTGATGAAGCTTGTTAAAGATCGAGCATAGAAAACGACAGTGAGCAAACATTAATGTAACTGCAGCTAACGTAAAGTAAATCATTTCACTTTCACACTAACATGCGCGGTCATGAAACAGCCATAAGGCTGACATGTTGCTGATGGACAAGTTGCTATTTGTTGTGTGCACGGATGTCTGACACGGCGATGACTGCAGCGCCGCATCCCCTCTGTGACACAAACCATCAAATAATCCAGCTAACAAGCTAACCGCAACCCACCAAAACCCTCGGGCTAGCGTCTTGAATACATTTGCGAAACCACTACAAATATGATAACACACCAACCACGGGCTGTCGGATGTGTTTTTAATGTAGTGACAGCTCTGCGTCTGCACGCAGTTAACTAGCGCGTCAACGCTAACATGCTAACACTGAACGAATACACACCAAGCTAGCAAGCGTTAGCTACATGTTGTAAACAACCGTTGTGACTGGCTAACATTGCATGCCACGTATTTAGCGAAACAAGCAGCACCTCTCTATCGAAACGAGAGTTAACTATTGGAACACGACACCGTGATCAAAAAATCTGTACAGCACTGACGACGAGGTATGACTACCTACCAAACTTATCTTAGCATATCTAACTAGCATATCCAGCTAGCCACAGCCGAGGACGTTGTTGTGGCTATCAGTGTCAGACTCCAGCTGATCACGTCTTGACAGATCGGACTAAAGGATCTGCTTTGACACATCACCGAGTTCCGCGTACATCAACGTTACTTGGTCAGACAGAGAAAAACAGCATTAAAATCAGCTAATCTGATGTGGTAGGAGGGCAACTTACCTGCAAGGGCAAGGATCTGTGCTTCGCACGGCTGGCCTGCGCTGCCATTCTCTTCAGTTCTGTGAACCAGATACACCTTCTGATTATCAAAATCTGTTTTGTGCAGAGGTCTGAAATCTTCCACATTCGAAACGGGTAACGCGTAGCACATATCGTCTTCAAAGAATCTAACAAAAGCATACATTATTTACTTCTCTTTGGTCCTGCACTTTGGATATGGTTGACAGTTTTTCCTCACAAAGTATTAAAAAAAAAATATACACATAGGGGGGTTGGGGATGGTGTCTGCGCTCGGCTACTCTTGTCTGGTCCACATCACCAGGGTTGATGATTAAGGCATGAGTAATAGACATGCTATTAACTTCATTGTTAAAAGACGGACAAATGCATGAGTATTCAAAGACTGTTTTGATTAATTTGCGTCGGAAACATGAAACACAATGTTAACTTTCAACTGTGGTTAATTATAATATTAAAAGGTTTCCTAATTTCTGTCAGTTTTTAAACATTTAAAATGAACAAGATTTACACAAATGGCAATAAAAACGTCAACATATTTAAAAACAAAACGATATTTATATGGCAGATATTTTTTAAGCATCACTTTAAGTAATTACGCAGGACATTTCAGTCACTCTGGGTCATTGCACTTATCAATTTAGACACCCATTACTTCTCAGGCTGTCTTCTAAGGAATTGTCTCAGGCAAGTATAGGGAGAAAAGCCACCGAGATGATTACCTGCTTCTTCAGATTTCATTGGTCTCTGTGCTTTTATGTGTTTCCTGGTGTGCACTTCTCATCTGTTCCTTGTATCACACCAAAAAGACTTAAGACCAGCTGACAGACATGAACTCTTTGTTATTGTAAGACAGCCAGGTGGTTATACAACAGGATGGATTTCTCTCAGTTGTTACTCTAATGGAGAGCACCACAGTCGATAAATGACACTAACAATTTCGTTCTGCTTGGGCTGCTGTAATTGAAAAGTAACTGATGCAGAACTATATAGAGCCCCTTTTCTTCTCTGATATTTTGTTTCATAGTTTCAGGCATTTAGTTAGTTATGATTAGGCCTGTTTCAAATGCCATCTTCCCCATGATGTTTGTTCACTGTACTGTATGACCGCTCCCAGAGTCTGTATACAAGACAATTTAAAAACAAACAAACAGAGTGGTGGCAATAATTCTCAGAACATAATGCCAGTCATTTTATTTCAGTTACTGAAGCTGTGTTTCAGGCTGTTTTCAATATAAGTGAACAGTTACATCCTGATGCTATGCTGTTAATTTGGGAGACTAGCTCGCTTCAAATTTCTACGTTGATCTGTCAAAATGTAACACATCTATATACATTTACAGTAATTACATTTGCTAACATTTTAAAATAAATCATATTATAGAGGTAAGGGTTCATTTAAGTCATGGTCATCCTGTATCTCTACTTTCTCTCCTCCACAAACTACAACAGGAGTGAGAGTGATAGACACGCGATTTGAGCAGCTTCTGAACAAGTCGAACAGAGGATTACTGTTAATCTAAGCTTCTGTTCAATGGCTCTCCTGTCCTCAAGGCTGAGCTTGTCAACATAAGGCTGCTCAGTTTCTGGAGCTTTCTGTCTTTGAAGTGGCCAGGGTTTAAAGGGGGACACCACTTCATTTGAGAATCCCACATGATGTTATTCATTCCTGCAACCTGGAGAAGTTCAATAAAAGTTTAAACAGCAACTTTCTCATAAAGTTAGAGTTCATAGAGGTGCACCAAGGATGGGAGTCTGCCTAGAGACACAATAAAATTTGAGTTATCCAAATACATTTTATGTTACAGTATTATTGTCATTTCTAAATGTGTCTTCATGTTTCCCCAAAAATATTCCTCTGAACATAGGAAAACAAGGTAAATTTTCTTTTTTTTTTCGTACAAACTTTCAATTAAGTGGTATATTTCTTGTAAAATCACTGTGCTATTTCCATTTACATATTGTTGTCATTACACAGTGCATCATATTATTCCTGATAGCACAATCTTTAGAACTTTTTGTAGACACATTTCTTTTACAAATGAATATCCTTACAGTTGCAGTCTTTTTATACACATTACACCACGTCAGCTTCTGTCAGAACTATTTCCAAGCTCCAAAAAGTCTGACAGCTTAACCCATGTACTCCTGCTTCCTCGCTGTAATTATTTCATGCTATGTGGCTCCACTGCACTGCTGGACTCTCTTGTTCAGCCTCAACCAGGTCACATTGCTTGAATGAACACACCGTTTTGTGTATGTGTTTCATGTAATACATAGAAAGTGTACAATTTCATATATGAACTGTAAGGGTGATTGGCTCCTGCTCCATCAATGTCAGTAGTTATTATAAAGTTTGATTGTCTCACAAATGATCAGTAATATACTACATACATATGCGATGAGGGTATACTGTATACTGTAGTATATTTTTGGTTTAAAAAGTGTATTTAAGATTTAACACACCCATGTGTGAAGACTGTTCTTGATTGACATCTCTCTCAGCCCCTCAGTCCCTACAGGCATTTTTCACAGGAGACATTTGACATGCCACAGAAGGGCTACAGTCGAGAAGTCAAAATAATCTCCTTCTCTAACCACTTTTCCTTGACCTCGATGGAAAACGTCATGAGGTCAAGGAAAGATGTGAAGGATAATTCATGAGGACTTTTTTTTTTTTAAGTCAACTTTTCAAGTCAGGTTATTACACATGGATGATTAGTCCTTTCCTAACCGCAAAAACAATACAAACGGGATTGAATGTTGAAATAAGATAACATGAAAGGAACATATAAGTAGAGAAATTTGAGCCATAAAAATAATAAATAAAAATAAGGAAGAGGCCAGAATAAATCATATTGTAGTATTTTCTTACAGTGAATATTGTTAAGTATAAATTCAATATGCTTGTTCTTCAAGATGACGAAGACGACGAACAAGAGGAGAAGAAATCTATATTTATGGAGCTCAGCCAATCATGAAAGGATTTCCATAAGTTTTGCATCATGTCACAAGCATAAAATAGATGCTCTGGGGTTAAACTACAATCGTGCGTCGCTTTAAGTGCTGCTGCCACAAGGAATTGTGGGACAGCATTATCTCCTTTCCTTTCGTAAAGGAAGGTCCGGTGTATCCTATGCTAAAGGAGATAAGATAGGAAGCATTGAAGTGCCTTTCCTTACCATTTGGAGGACCAGCTTTTATCATGGCTGCCACTTAGATACTTCCAAGGCATTTCACTTAGTTAGGAACCTTCCTCAGCAAAAAATACTTTTCGACCCCACACACACACACACAACTTGTTTTAGTTGTGTTGCAGCTAGGAGCAAGTTACACCTTTGACATTCTTATTGGTTTGTCAAGTTTGGTGACCTCATGTTGTTTCAGCATAAACCTGAGCCGAGGTCTAATCAGGCTAATTAAGTGAAAACACCTGTGTGCATATAACAGTGTAACTGCATTTTTTGTCTTAATGACTTTGAAACATGTTTTTTATCTATTTTATGTGCTCAAGTTTTCGACCTTTTGTGTCACTGCTCTGCATTATGGAGTTATCTCCAAGTGTTGTCCAGTACCTGCACCCAGTTGTACAGATGTTTTTGGACCCTACAAAGAAAGAGACTCTATTATAAACTCTTAATCTGTGTAAACATTTTTCCCTACAGTAGCCCCAAATGTGTAATTTTTATGAATGAGATGAAACAAAGCAAAAGTCTGTAGTTATGACACATTCAGTGCATTTTGGCAAAACATAAATATCACAAACTAAATGTGCTGTATTTTTTTCCCCCAACAAACTCCTGAGAGGATGTAAACTTTTTGTGTTGTTTCAGTGTTTTCAGTATTTGCTACTATTAAAAATACAGTTATAAATTTTAATGTAATATCTACTGGGTTCTGCAACAATAAGAAATAAAAGTGAAAGCAGAAAGTCTACCAAAGACTAACTATTGTACAATTTCATACTTTCTGACTTTGGTTTATTAGAGTATGAGAACTGGGGAAGGTCAAAATAATCTGTTCAAATTATACAAAGGACAGAGAGAATGGGATATTTATCAAAAGAATGAAAAAAGACTTTCAATACAGAAAAAAACTAACATTTATAATTATGTGAGTGTGCAAGTTCTCTCTCTCTTTCTCACACACACACACACACACACACACACACACACACACACACACACACACACACACCCTTTAGGACTATCTATAGCACTAGACATATGTAATTACAGAGGGGAAGGCACCACATTCATTTAGTCTGAAATGACCTTTCCACAACCAAAATGCTCTTAAATTAGAACACTTAAAATATCAGTTAAATGCTCAGTGCCCATTGTTGTGTTTTGACTTTTCACCATTAAGACAATTAAAAGCAAAGCTGCTATTTACTTAATAAATGAATCAGCTCTTTGTTTTTTACATTATTCAAATACACAAACTCTGCTCTAATTTGTCGCAAACTATTGGCATGCTAATTATCTGATGGGACAATGATTCATTAAAGCTGAGAGAATAACTCTAGATAATATTTTAGCTATGTTTTATCTGTGGGGGCAGTTGATCGGGTAAAGACTGGAGTCAGGACAGAAGCCAGACATCATGTCCTGCCTATTAGCTCCACACTGCCAGGCTCATCTATCTTTATTGGTCATCCATTAGCCTGCATTAAAGGGAGACACGGGATAATAGCAGTAATGATGCTGATGATGGAATTAGACTGCGGGTACACACGTCATCATTGCAGCGCCGCGCCTGGAATCATAAAGAGTTCCCACTGACAAACGGACAGATGGACGGAAAGATATAAAATAAACAACTCTTTTCTGTTTCTGATCAGTGTATGTATGTGTGAGAGAGGGAGGGAGAGAGAAAACGAGATGAGGTCTTGCAATTTAGTTGAAAAATCACTATAGTGCTTGGAGGTGTGTGCATTAACTTTACGGCACATTGACAGCCAATCTGAAGGCAGCACCTGTGCCAATCTGCAGGATGGACAGATGCTGGTACAGGTGTGTGCGTGATGATGGCTGGCAGGGACGATTGCCAGCCTGAGCAGCAGCATACAGACACCAGACCCAGCAAAGTAATGATGCCAGGCATTAGACAGCCGGGACGGAGGGATCATTAAGGCAACTTTCTGGAAAGATGCTCGAAGATCAGGAAAGCACCGAGCAAAATGAAGATAGGGATGTCTGGTTCCAAG